GTAATCAGGACCCTACAACACCGGGCAGAACATGTTCCCTCTAAGCCTGAAGGTACAAAGAGATATTTACTTTCTGCTGACCATCAGCTCAGATTCACCATCACCGTCTCTAACTCTCTAAATATGAACACATTTGAAAAATAAAGTTATGTTTACAAACATTCATATCTCAGAAATAAGCACAGCTGTTCATGTTTGCTATTACAGTTTTATTTGTCAGAGAATTATGAACTTTACATCGTGCATTGAGTTTAATAGGTCTGTCTCATGGCTGCACTATGAGAGCTGGAATAAACAATTAAAGTTGAGCAAACTTCAGCTAAATCTTGAAACAGTAGATACAGGTAGAAATGAGATCAGATTAATCTTTGGTCAAAAGCAGATACCTCCTGAGTTCAGTCCATCACATTAAAAAAGAAACGATATCGTGCTTTTTACATACACTTCCAAATAATAGTCAAGCAGCTCAGTCTCACAAATAGGTAACTAAGATGTCTCTAATGCAGACGTGCACAGTGTAGTGCAAGCATTACAAGATCAGAAATGAAAACGTAACATTCATGTAAAACTACAGGCTCAGGATTTTAAAGAAAGGCTCTGAAAACAAAACTTTTTAAAACAGTATCTTTGCTGCGATCATCAAAATACAAAACAGACGTGAACAATTTTCAGTAAAAAACCCTAACATGCACTAATATTACACATATCCAAACAACAAGGCATATGTCAAAGTTTTTGAAGTGAAGAAACATGTTGCTTTAAAAAGCACATGCAGTGTGTGGCCACGATCGTCACACTGTGGACCATGAACGCCACTTCTTTGAAGCGTTCTTCTTCTTGGAATCAAAATGGAAGCAGAAACGTCACGATTCTCTTTGATCTACCAAAAGGAAAAAGCAGAACATCGGAGCTGAAACCAGTCGGGTGAAATAATTAGGATAACAATAATTCAGTGCATTGTCTCCGGTAGTCTTACGATTGTTGGTATCTGTTCAGTACAACTAACACTCGGTGTCAGGGAACTCCTGTGTGGAAAAAAGTGGTTTTTATGTTTTTATGTACGTATTTAACTTCCATCCATTTAACTTAGGAGGAAGAAATGTCAGTTTGGTGCAGGCTGGTTAGTTTAGACTCTGGGTGCATTTGGTGCCCTGTTGTCTGTAACTCAATGAGTTGGTTCACTTTGTGGCTGGGCTGTATGTGCGGTTATATCATGTCGGCTTGGGCTGGAGTACCTGTTCCCTGTTAGGTGTTTGGCTGAACATGAGTAGAGCTTCTAGCTTGGAAGCACATCTGTGCACATAGTCATACTGTCACTGGTTAGTGTAAATGGCTCAATGTGACATAGGAACCTTTTAATTAATTTCCATATTCCGACTTGTATGTCAAAGAATATCAAACCTGGAAAAGCTGTTTATGGTCAGAATGATTAAAAACTGTAAAGAGCTTTTCTCTTTGCGTCGAGCATCCAACACTGTGACTCTTCCTTGTAGAAGCCGTCACTCCAAAGGTCTTATGATAACAATGTTTTATGATTTACTAAGTTACTGGATGAACATGAAAAGTACGTCCATTGTTGCAAATGACCATGGGCGTGACCAGAATAACATCCAACTAGACGCTCAAAAGACGTCCTTAAATGTCCTGTAAGTGACAGAACAGATGAACAAACAGGTAATCGCTTACTTGAGATGAAACCTGCTCAGCTACTTTGAAAACAGCTTCTACCTGCTCCTCCTGTAACTGGATGGCTTCTCAGGGCTAAGCCGTCCTGCAGTCCAGCAGCCTTTATGGTTCTGCTGTGATTCACCAGGAACTGTTAGAAAGACACAAACACACAAACATTAACATGTTCCACAGTCTTCCAGTTTGATCACTTTGATTGTCTCATCCTGTGGACAACGACGTACACGGATGCAGGTTTATTGCTAACTTTTGGAGGTTTATTTATTGAACAAATCCAGCTCCACTGTGATGCTGAGCTGGATACGCACTTAAGAAAACGTGTGAATAAATAGACAACAAACTGGATTTAACCAAACAGACTGGACCCGTTATTGTTAACTGAATGCAAGACTTTAACAGTCTCTTCAATGTAAGAATGCAGGTCCATCAGCATGAGACAAACCTGATGACACACTTCAGCATACGTATGTAGCACATTTACATTTATATCGCACACGTCTGCTTTCCTGTTTGTTTACAGGCTGCCAGGTTATCACAGGGCCAACACAATACATGTGACACAAAATCCACTGAAGTGTTTGATATTTTAATCATAATGATGATTATTATTTAAAATATCACTATAAAGTTTATTTATAAATATATTTAGATTTGTTTCTGTAACCTAGCATATAAAGCTGAGCTGTTTCAGCTTCTGACCTCTGACCTCAGTGTGTCCTCACTGCAGCTTCCTCCTGGAAACACTTCTCCTTCTTGTCTTCCCCCAGTGTTGTTTCCCTGCCGTTAATATCATTCACTGTACCTGAGGAACAACAGAGGACAAACACTCACTTTAAGAAGTACATTCATACAGAGGTGATCTATGGAAACGCACTACTCCACACTTTGGTAGAGAAATCAGTTTCTGTGAAACATTTCTGTAAATGGTGTGGACTTCTTCAGGAGACTCAGCCACTCCCACTCTGATAACTGAAACTTCTGTGGATGAAGAAACTGCCAGACACCATCCTGGAAATGTTTAAGAAATACAAGATCTCTATATAAATGACGATCATGTTAAAATCACATATTAACAGTTGTTGCTCACCTTTGTTTCTGATTTTAAAAAGTTGTATCCCGTCAGCTCTCATGGCTCAGAAAAAGCTTTTTTTGGTTTCCAATCCAGTTCTGCTTGAAAGTATTAAGGATACTTTAAAAGTGCTCCTCTGAAATCTGTGTTAAACAACAAGAAACATAAATTAGTAACAAAAACACAGTGCAGAAGGTAAGTACAGGCATTACACACCATCATCGGGCCTAATGCTCCTAAATCTGCAACTTCAAATCTCTGTGAGCTCTTCAACGTGTCTTCAAAGGGAAAAGTCCAAAACTTAGAATTTGATTATAAAAGGTTCAACACAGACACACAGACAGAGAGGTACCTTTTAATGTTTACTGGTAACCTGAGTCACTGATCATCTACAGCAGGGGTGTCGAACTCCAGGCCTCGAGGGCCGGTGTCCTACAAGTTTTAGATCTCACCCTGGATCAGCACACCTGAAACAAATGATTAGCTCATTACCAGGCGTCTGGAGAACTTCAAGACATGTTGAGAAGGTAATTTAGACATTTAAATCAGCTGTGATGGATCAAGGACGCATCTAAAACCTGCAGGACACCGGCCCTCGAGGCCTGGAGTTCGACACCTGTGATCTACAGTATTACAGAGTCTGGCAGTCTTTGCATGATGTAAACGTTACTGTAAGTTTCCAGCTGCCTCTCAGGTGTGACAGGTGTGCCAGCAGGAAAGAGTAATAATAACCTGCATCCTGAGGTTTGTCGTGCAGGATTAAAGGAGCCAGGCTTTGTTCACACAGCTGGGATTGTGTTTTACACTGACCCTGGGTCAGTATCATACAGTTTAAACGAAGCACTGAAACTTGCACATATTTATTACAGATGCATTGAAGCTAATCGAGATATTTGCTGTCAATCTGTTTTCTGGTAACTTTATTAACCAGTAACATTTCTGTCTAATCATTGTTTAAACAGTAACCGCTTTATTAAACTATAAGCTAACCTTTACACCATAACTTTAAGCTAGCGCCATAAAGACGGTCAAACGTAATAATATTTACAAATGCATCTCAAAGCTGTTATATGTGTATTACTAAGATAACCACATTAACATTATTGACACTCGCTGACTTTTAATAGTCTTTCTATAAATGCTGTCCGTTTAAATGGTCTTACCTGTACACACTGCTGTATCACAGGATTCCAGCCAGAGTGGATTCTGGAGTCTTCCACGCTCCTGTTAGTGATCCTCCATCTGGATGGATGATAACAACCTTCTGAACAATCTAGCAGCTGGAGATGGCCCCTGCTGGCCCATATCTATGGTGCTGATTTCTGCTTATAACGCCCACTGAATGGCCTGATGACATCTGAGGCCGGTGTCCCCAGTGCCTAGTGTTCGTTCCCAGTCTAGGTTTTGGTTATAAAGGTTTCCTTGTTGCCTTTCACATTCTGTTTTCATCTTAGTTCTGTACCACGGACATCAGCCTTAATAAATGCATTGTTGGTTATTAATATTCACCTGCCTGTGAGTCTGCGTTTGGGCCTTTCCCTCTACAAACATGATCTAGGTCTCGCTGATCGTAGTTGAAACCATATCACAGAACTAAGCTAGACGATGCTGATTCATTTAATTCACAAAACACCATTTAAATGCCATGACTGCCTTTGAAGATGTTTGCAGACACACAGGGACAAATTATTAGTTTAAGGTTACTGACTGGAGCAATAGATTTTCAACACAGAATTTCTGCATTCACTTGTTTTCTTCAGAAAGAAACTTTACATGTATCTGAACACAATAACAGATTACTATTTTTTAATGACCTGATTCAGTATTATTAGCTGGTCTCTCTATTGAGCCATAACATAAATCACTGCTTTGCAATGACGTGCTTTAACTTTGTAATGCTCAAAGTAAAACTAAGGGTTATATTCTAGTTTACACAAAGTTTAAAAACTTAAGCAAGGGTTTCAACTGTCACTTGAAAGCATTATACCAATAGCAAATGAAATTAGTTTAGACGTGAGAAAAACAATTGCTGATGCTCAAAAAGCAGGAAATGGCTATGCAAAGATACTGTGGTGTTTCCTATAGTCAAGAACTGGAGTGAAAATTATCATCAAGAAAAGAGAGACACATAGTACAAAACAACAGTGCAGAGAAAGAGCTTTGAAAGATTTCAAAGACTCTGGAAAGAAAACTAGTATGCAATATGTCTAAGGACCACAGAACACCCGCCAGCAACCCTGCACAGGAATGGACTGCAAGGCTGGAGAGCAAAATAAGCACCACTTCTGCAGAAGAGACACCTTCAAGCCAGACTTAAGTTTGCTTAAGTTTCTTTGGGGGCGACCATGGCTCAGGGGGTTGGGAAGCGTATCTGTAACCGGAAGGTCGCCGGTTCGATCCCCGGGCTCTCTGTCCTGGTCGTTGTGTCCTTGGGCAAGACACTTTACCCTACCGCCTACTGGTGTTGGCCAATGGCGCGATATGGCAGCCTCGCCTCTGTCAGTCTGCCCCAGGGCAGCTGTGGCTATAACCGTAGCTGCCTCCACCAGTGTGTGAATGAATAGTGGTATTGTAAAGCGCTTTGGGTGCCTTGAAAAGCGCTATATCAATCCATTATTATTCTTTGGCCGTGTAGACAAGACATTTGGACAATTGTGGGGAAAATCTGAGGATTTGAGCACCTTGTTGTTCCAACATTACTGCACACGAGTCCTCACCTCATCCTGGTATTACACCTTTGGGATGAATTCGAGTGGAGACTGTGAGCCTGGCCTTTCCGTTCAGTGCCTCACAAATGAACTTTTAAACAAATGGTCAAAAATTCCTATAAACACACTTTCAAATCAAATCAAAATTTATTTATATAGCACATATTAAAAACAACAAAGTTGACCATAGTGCTTCACAGTCAGTAAACGCATGAGACAATTAAAACAAAACAATAAAAACAGGACAGGAATCAATAGGTGACAACACAACAAGCCAACTCGTAAGAATCAAAAGCCAAAGTAAAAAGATAGATTTTAAGACGTGATTTAAAAGACTGGATAGACTCGGCGGCACGAATATGAACCGGCGAGGTTATTCCAGAGTCTGGGTGCTACGCTTGAGAAGGCCCGGTCACCTCCTAGGTTGTGCTAGGAGCATCTGATTGGACGAATTAAGTGCTCTATTGGGATTGTACAAGTGGAGGAGTTGGGAAAGATAGCTGGGCGCTAAATTATTTAGAATTTTAAAAGTGAACAAAACTAAAGTTTGTGGAAAGCCTTTCCAGCACAGTTGAAGCTGTAGTAGCAGCAAAGTGTGGACTAAGATCATATTCAACTCTATGGATTAAGTATGATTAAGGGATGTCACTGAAGATCATATGCGTGTGAAGGCAGATGAGCAAATATTGTCAGCAATATTGTGTACATCACAAAAATGTTTGAGTATGGGCTAGTTAAAATATGAAGACTTTTCATATTCATATAAATATGAAAAAAGTCCCTTGTTTGAGCACACACTAATATAAAAACAATCAGTGAGTGAGTGATATAGAGAGACCAGCCTGCGCTCTCTTGCCACACACGTAGAACAGTGTTCGTAGCGTCAGATAGACAGAAACACATTGACTGTCAGTGGTGGACCTGCCAATTCTGGTATTCTATGGCAAATCCTAGTTCAACTGAACTGTGCCAAATAGTGAGTACAGAGCCCACTAGAGCCCACTAGAGCCCACTAGTGGCCCTGCAGGCCACTCTCATGAATTCTGTTTCTGATTGTTTGGTCAGAGACATTCACACCAGTGATCATTGTGTAGGGTTGTGACAGTGCTCATCCTGATGGGTTTAAAGACCTTCTATGGTAGTTGGTGGTATAACTATAACGTAATGTATTAAACAATATATTAAGCTTATATTGCGCAACAAGCTCACTATCAAAATGGCTTCTATGTCACCTTTTTAATATAAAATCTGCAAAGTTTCATGCTAATGTTCTTTCATACATTGAAAATACGTGGCAGACGTTGATGGCTTACAATAGCCAGTCATGTTTGATACTTGTCTTTCAAATGTGTGTACTCATAGTTAGTGATTTTCTCCTCAGTGACATTTTCCCTAAAAACAAGCTGTGTTGTGAAAACTGCTGTTAACTGTTGCAAGGTGAAGGTTTTGGATAAATGCCAGTGTTTATGATTAAAATGAGAGTAAAATCAGGATACATCTGTTGTAAAACTACAGATATTTAAAAGCATTTTTCATATTTTGCTGCTAGTCTTCTAATTTCACTGAGGTCTTGCAGCACTGAGTGAGTGATCAAAGCTTACACTAAGCCTGGTTAGCAGGTTGCGTTAGCCAAGGCTGAAGGTGGCAGTGATTACAAGACAGATTTGTGCTGTTAGGCATGACTGTGGCCACCAAAGTAAAACAGTTCAAGAGCATCAGCACATGAACAGTGTTAAAAAGAAAACGTGACTTGCAAATAATAATAATAATAATTATTATTTTTAACCAAAGCCACCTTTAAAAACCCTCAAGGTCACCTTAAATTTGTACTACTACATTATTAGGTTACTGGACACTAACATGCACCCGTCACACAAGACGTATATAACAAGACCTGTGTAACTGAAACACCAGTTAGCCTCCCTCAAAGTGGGCGTCATCCCTACATCACTACCTCTATCAAACACACACACACACACACACACACACACACACACACACACACACACACACA